TCTGGCTTTTTAATACTCACACGTAGCACCATTCCTGTTCAAACTTTATGAGCACACCTGCAGTGCAAGAATGAATGACATATGCTGATAAATAAATGGCCAAAATTCTTACTTCTCCGTCAAAAAATTTACTTACATTTCTTGCGGCCGCAATCTCCCCTTATTGCTTGCCATGCCACGCACAAGTTGTGAAATACACAGCATAGTGAATGTGTCGTTAGGTTCGATTATTTCACTAAGTGGACAAATTCCAGTACACTTTGGAGGTATTTAGATACCATTTTCAAAACAATACAAATAGAATCACAAACAAAGGAATTAGAATGTTTGGGACACTTGCAGTTTTGTTCCGTTTGCTCCCCAAAGCCACTGGAGAGAACAACATGAAGAAATCAGTCAGGCTCTACGTGGGGAACTGGGACAAACTTTGTCGAACTCGTGCCCAGTTTTTTCGGTCATGTCAATGCTGCGTCTTTAGCCTGCGAAGCAAGCGTTTCCTCGCGAGTTCGTCGAGAAAGTTGGGACGAGAGGAAAAAAAAATCCTTGTTTTAGAATAAATATCAATTTAATCGCCAAGAGTTTCTCAAGTGATGAATTTTCTCCTTTAAAGAGAAACTCAAAGACAGATGTTTCTGTTATTTATTACAGGAGCCCTGTTTATTATTAATTTTTGGATGGCGTGAAAGGGAAAATAGAGGATGTGTGAGCGCATGTTAAAAAATTAAGACATCTGCTAATACAATATTGTGTAACAAAGCGCATTATAGGGTTTACATGGGAAAAATAACACATGGAAAAAATATCTCCTTATTTTAGTTTATCCTGCAGTAAAAAATATAAATAAACTTGCTTTTTGCTGTATTTAGTGCTCCTGTATTGTTTGAAGCGTTTTGGGCTGGTTTTGCTATCCTTTCGTCATTCAAAACACCATGAAGGTTAAGACAGGATAGCAAAACCAGCCCAAAACGCTTCAAATCAAGCGAACTTTCTGAGCGTTTTCCGAGATATTCCCTCCCCCCCCCCCCCAAAAAAAGATAAAAGTAAAGGTGGGGATACCAGAGAGCTTCAAAGTAGGATGGTATCCCCCCCAAAAAACTGGGTCGAGTCACCTTAAATTCATATCATAATTCATTTTATGTTCAAGGACACATGGGTTTTCTGCTGATGTGGTAAGGGTAGTATCATCTGCATACATTCTGGGTTTTGAAAACAAATTACATGAAGGGAGACTTGTGTAATTAGATCTCCTTTTCCATAATTCCCCTTAAGGAAGGCATTATACACAGATTTACGAGGACTAGTTAATCCTTTGAGATCCAGCCGGATGACATCTTCCCCAGGATTTTTCCGCTTGAAAATATTATGAGGGAAGAACCCCGAGGACGAGGATGGCAGCGGACAATTTATCCGTTTCCAATCAACAGATTCTCGTAGAAAGTTTTTCACCTCTCTGATTTACTTTAATAAACCTTTAACTTTTTCTTACCTGCCGACCGATATTCTTAGTGAATAATTCAGCGGTTTCTGGCTATTTTGATAACAAAAGAGTAACACATTTGTTTTTGACTAGGTGAAGTGTACTATTCCATGGGCGTTTGTGGTACAAAATTCCAAAATGCAGTGGTTCCTTTAGCCTCTAGGCTCAATTAATGAATCAACTTTTGTTATAATTCTAAAGAGTGAGTCAATAAAATATTTTCCGAGATATTCCCGTCACGAGTTGGTTTAATTATTGGCTTTCATTAAACCTATGAAAAAATGATATTTTTTTAATAGTAAGTAGATTTAGTGTGTAGCACTTCTTGATTTTTTTGCAAAGGCACAAAAGGCACGAGAATTGATTAAAAATTGTGAGTTAAACCTCTATGTATCACGCGATGGCCTGTCTTACTGTACTAAAACTATCATATCTCGGTGAGCATTCGGAAGTCAGCCAAGCGCGGTCATTGCACGCGTGCTGAACAAGAATGCTGTATCATGACAGACTAGAAACAATAGACAAATCCCAAAGCACAAACTCAGCCAAAACGCTAAAAATCTTCAATGTTTACTCAAGTTTGGGCTTATAGAAGATAATGTCACAGTTTTTCAATGACCATGAAATTCAGTGTCCGGGTAGTTAGTTAACCAATTGCGGCCCTGAAAAAATTTAAAGGAAAAAAAACTACGAGTTTTAAGAAAATGCTTTTTCGTGAGAAGGACTCTTAAACGCTGACAAACGTCAACAAATAGCGAAAACTATAATTTCTGTATGTTTGCTTTGCTCGAAATCGCGCGCATTTACAAGGCCCTAAAGCGTTTTGCTGACTTGCAAGGACCCATCTGTTATAACGATGCCCAAAATAAAGGGACGAATCTGTTAGTTTATTAGATATAATCCGTGTAAAGTTTGCTTATCATTTTCGCATAAATTATGACCTAAATTTGGAAACCGCTGAATTTCTCGAATTGGGTCTTTGCGATTTTGGTGAAACTCTGTTCAGCGCAAGGCACTAATGTGCACTATGTGTAGCCGAGAGATTTTCACGAAAAAATGCCGGCAACAGCAGATTTTCGACTCAGACCTCAAAGGGGCGTGACATTATAACCACGTGACATTTACTCCGATCGCCAAAAATTTTATGTTATATTGTAGATTGATCTATATGTTATCCATTCTATGTGTTAGACTTACGATAAAAGTAAAGGTGGGGATACCAGAGAGCTTCAAAGTAGGATGGTAGCCCCCCAAAAAACTGGGTCGAGTCACCTTAATCCAGTCATGGCTGTCAGCAAACAAATTAACTTAAAATGTTAAGAAGACTAGATACATGCTTATAGGGAGCCAATTTAAGTTATCTCAAATAAATAGTGACTTCACAGTCAAAGTCAATAATACACCCTTAGAAAGAGAAATTAAACATAAATCCCTTGGAGTTCAAATTGATGAATATTTGAACTGGCGCCCACACATTCATACCATTTCAAAGAAAATATCCGCTGGTATTGCTATCTTAAGGCGTGTAAGTCATTTTATACCATTTGATACTAGAGTGAATATGTACAATGCACTGGTAATGCCATATTTTATAATTACTGTGGTGCCGTATGGGGTAATATCAATAAGGGACTAGCAGACAAACTTCAAAAGCTGCAGAATAGGGCTGCTAGAATTCTCACCTTTTCTAACTATGACGTTCGCTCAAGTGTTTCGTTGGATGAGCTTGGCTGGGAAAGGCTAGAATATGTAAGACTTAAACAGTTGGCTGTGACAATGTATAAAATCCATAATATTCCCATTGTATCTGAGGGGGATCTTTACCAACACCTCAAATGTACATTCACACAATCTATCTTAGAAATTCTGAGTTAAATTATTATGTCCCCAGACCCAGAACTGAGTCTGCTCCTTAGAGCATTTTAGTCTAGTTTTAAACACGATTCCTAGGAAGACCATGTAAAATGACACGATTTCGTGTATAAATAAAGATTGGCGATGATGATGATGACAAAAAGTCGAAGCGGGAAAAGGGAAATGGGGTTCGGGGGGGGGGAGAGCAGAGAGGACAGGAAACCAGAGTTTCTCTCCTTTCGCAGTTCCCCTTTTCCGCTTAGCCTATTCAACTTTTCTGCGCATTTGACAATGATGGTATGAAGTCTAAACGTTTTCATCGTAATTTTTTCTTTGTAAATGTCCATAAAAATTGATTCTTATTTAGATTCCCTCGTTTCTTCGGTCCCTTCGTTTGTTCGATCGTTTGTTCGTTCGTTCACTCGAAAACCCATTCATTCATTCATTCATTCATTCCTAAAACTCTGATATCCACAGAAAAGTCAAGCTCTTTATTAATTAAGTATATAAGAAAAAAGCATGACTTAAAAGTTACAATGCCAAAGGCTCTCGGGATTTCTACATCCAAAAAGGTTAAGGAAGAAAAATTTCAGCTTTTGTTTCCTAACGTATATAAGACAAATTTTAATAGTAATTAATAAACAATTTTTTAAAAGATACTGCAGATGGTGTGCCTAAGGAATTAATCTCTGCTTACATGTATGCACAAAAATCTTAACAGAAGGAAAAAAATCTGAGTGGAATCCAGTCAAGGCTACCTTTCAGGTAACATTCAAATTTAATGACTAAGTTTGATACACTGAATGTTGACATCGGGAAGAAATACCACTTGTCAGTTAGGAGCGGCTAGAAAAATTGGCAAAAAATATCATTTCACTCCCAATCGGCCTTCAAACGTCCTTCATTCATTTTTCATTTGAAGGCGACAGAAAAGAAACGTCTGACCGCCGCCCGGTCATCCGCCGATCGACGCCGACTTTTGCACTCTCCAAGAGAAAGAAAAAAGAGAGAGAGAACGCCTGATCGCCGGTTATATCACATCATAGTTTCTTTCCTATTTTCAAAGTATTTTTATTGTATTCGCAAGTACGAGTATTTTACTAAATTTCAAAACCGATTAAACAGCTATTAAAATCCAGTTTGAAGCAAAACATTTTAATAGCGTTTTAAACAGGTTAAAACACCTTTAAAATCAGTCAAAAAATATTTAAAAATATATTTTTGTACCTATTTTAAACTGCTTTGTTTTTCAAAATACGTTTAAAATTGCCATTAAAAATAGTTCTAATATAGTATAGCATATAGTTCTAATATAGTATTGCAATAGCCCTGGAATTTTTTATATATTTTAAACGAATTTTCGAATACTTTAAAAAAAACTTTTTTAAAGCGTTTGAGACAGGTTAAAACTCCTTTAAAAGCAGTCGGAAAATACATTAAAAATACACTTTTCACCCTATTTAAAACCTATTTCACAAAACAGGTTAAGAACAGTTTTCAAAAATAGCTTAAAAATACATTCAAAACAGTGTTGGATTTGGCAAGGGTAGTCCTGCATTTACACAGAGAAAATAAACTTATTCATTATAAGTCGAGCATGAAGACATGAAAGCTTCAACATATTTGTGGGCATTTTTTGTAGATAATCTCACAATCTACGCGGAGGAAATCAGTCAGTCATCCACTCATCCGAAGGCACTTGGTTAACGTATGTACGTGAATCAAAGTTGGATGCCCCATGAACACTGTTGACTGATTCAGAAGCCGAAAGAGTCGCATATAAACCTTCGCCTGTGGTCTGAAATTATAAAAATACAAAAGCGTTAAATTTATACTGAATAAGTTACGAACAATACAAACTGTTAAGGTAATTAAATCCGTCGAAAAAAAATTCCAGAGAGGGATCCAGGGAAAGTGGATTGGGTAAGTAACTACGCCCAACCCCCAACGCTTTTGTGGAGGACTAAAGTGTTTATTCGAGAGGTTTAATTTGTATTTTTATTTGGGTATTTGAAGAAGTCCAACAAAAACAAAAACAAAAGAGGGCTTCACCAGATATCGAAACACATCAAGGTGTACATGTACCATTCCCCACTTCCTTGGCTTTTGAAATTTTCAGCACGCAAGAAAAACTTTCTCCTCCGCGGAGGCTCCCGCTGAATATTACAATAAAATAAAAATAAATAAAAGATAAGAAAAATAGTAAGCGCGTTAAAAATAAGAGCTGTCTTACTGGAGAGCTCTGTTACTGTCTTACTGGAGTCTCCCAGTAACACAAAGAAGTATTTGGGGAGGACAGAGGGACGTTAAAAAAATATTAACCCAGCTTTATCCTTTAAAGTTCCACAGATAGAAGGGGCTAAAAAATCTACATCAACATGTACCATTGCAAGATGATTCAAGACGGAATATCCACTTTCTTTGCCGCAAGGTGGTGCTGCCTGTATTTGGTCTTCTATTTTTCCAAGCTGTTTGTTACTAGAATTCTGTGCCGGATTCTTTGCCGGTGCTTCCTGAATTTCAAGGTAGATGCTGACGAAACAAAGCAGCAGTTTAGTTGTTAGTGACACTTACGAGAACCTTTTGTTACAAACACTTATATGTACAAGATAGGAAATCCCAGTTCCTCTTTTTATTACTTGTCGTGACAATAACTTCATTGTTCCTTTGAACGACGGTCGGTCTGTTAGCAAACCTTCATAGCTTTATCAGACACGCTCCTATTTAAGCGTTTTTCCTTTTGTACCCAGTTTTAATGAAGTTGATTGCAATATACGAGCTCAGGTAATAAATTTGACAATATGACGTCATTGTGTTCCTCAAAATTTAATTATACCCAGATTTTAGAGGTTCTGTACAAATGTGTGGCCGTGTAGATTATAGGGAATGGTGTACTGACATATATTTAGTCATAAATCATAAAAACAGTCTTACCTTTCTGTAGCGTTTCCTTTTGCATCTATGTAAAGAGGAGAAAGGGAAAGGATAAAAAAAAAATTAACTGTCCACTGGCATGTACAACGTTAGAGCAATTACGTGTATGTAAATACGTTGTCACAAATATCCAAGTGTTATAGGTGTATCTTTCGATACGCTTCTAATTTATATATAGACTGTACATGTACAAGGCATTATTCTAGGAAGTATGAAAAGCAGTTGTCAAAGTCAAGGTTCTTTGAATCCACTTCACGTACACAGTCTCTGTTTCGTTTCTATTTTTTAACGAATCACTCGCCGAATTTCATTTTACTTATTTCTTTGTGACTGGGAAGCCCAGGCGTCATAAGCCTTCTGGTTTCTTCAATCTGCTCTTCTGGGCTCCCTTGCCAATTCCTGTATTGTATTATATGTTGGCTAAATAAAAATGAACTGAACTTAACTTAACTGATTAGTTTAGTCACAGTTAACGACAGCGTTCAAATTGAATAAAGAAAAACTCGGACATAAGTATCAGCCCTTTAAATCTTCGATGTTGTTTTAGCCGCCGTTAATTCTTAAAACCGGACCTTTCCTATCCTCCACAGAAATCATTGGGAACTTTATTTTCACACAGAAGTTATCACTTGCACTTTTATATAAAGTACCTTCTTTAGTCGCCTTCACATGCCGCTGTTTTATCACCAAAATTGCAATGGCGGCGGTTGCCGCGACAAGCAACACCCCTTCTACTGATACCGCTATAATTATCCACGATGATAAAGACGAAGACGAATTTCCGTTGCATCTTTTCTTATCGTCAGGTGGAATTGAATGTGGTTCTGCCGAATCTAAAGAAGCAATAAAGAAAAAAAAAATGCGGAAAAAAAAAGATGTATTGAAAGAATCAACAATTAATTCAATAAATTATTCTTTTTAAGCAGGCTATGACAATTTTCGCGCGACCTGATTACCTTTGTTGCGCGTGCCAGTTCCACAAGGTAATCACGGAACATTCACAATATAATTAGCCAACTTATTTTTCGCTATAACAGTAACTGGCTCTTACCTCGTAGAACAAAAAGTTTGGCAGTTATCTTGGATATTGCTCGAGCAGTTAGAGGAAAGGCAACAGTAGTAAGATCCAAGATCTGTGTACTGCACGTCTGTTATATTCAGCGCGTAAGGGTCGTAAATTCCGCTGCGATGGAAAATGTGCTTTCCATCTGATCCAGCTTTAAAAAAAAAACGTCAGACGACTTAAAATACATAACCCATGTTCATTTATTTAACAAATATTACAGAACGCCCAGTTAATATGTATAGATTTAGCCAGGGCCAGAAGTGAAGCTCTTGAGTGATCTTTTAAATAATGACGTTCTCAAAATAATTCAACTTTTGCCGTAAGCAGAGAGCAAACTGAGTTCACACCTTAAACAAATGGTACTGCATGAGCACGCGGTCAATTGAAAACCAACGACTGGTCAGAGGATAACTTAAAAAAATACGTCACCTCAATGAGTTGCATACCTGAACCAGCTATAGAGTCATGTGACACTGGTCAGAGGATATCCTTTTTTTAAAGCTGTCAATTGACCAAAACATGGAAGTCCAAACCAGGTCAAACGCAATATATGCCTTGGACTCCAATCGAGTGCGTGTGACATTTCACATCCGCTAACATGAAGGGATAGACGTACGGACGTACGCACGAACGATTTTGTTAGAACTAAAATTTCTTGGATGCATAGATAACCAAGTTTTCTTATCCATGGCGCTCTACTGCAAGCGTTTCGCGCACTCGAGAGGTCCGCTATGATAGCCCGTTCTCCTCGCAGGTGAAAGGATAACAATCTCATCGGAGGGCTTTACAAGTTCTCAAATAGTTTTGGCCCGAGATGCGCATGTAGTTAACAACAAGGAATAAGTTCTCAGGTAGCCAGTCTTCGGTGACAGATTTCAAAAGGGATTGCGAATGGGGTACAGACTGGAAAAAAAAATCAGCTGGCTCACGTAACAAAGGTTTGGATTGGAATCAGACCGAGGAGAGGGGCAGGGGATGGGAAAGGTGAGAAGAGAAGGGGGATCCCGGAGTTGGCTGGGTGGGAATGATAATTGAAGTAGATAATTTTATTGCCTGCCCAACAAACCTTACTCTTAGTATTACACAACTACAAAAAATTTATCTTACTTATGCAACGCTGTACGAAGTCTTCGTCATCCTTCTGAAACTTCCATTCGATGTGGAGAGGATAACCTTGGGCCGCACACTGGAGTGAAACATTGTCCCCTTTTTTAACTGTTGAGTTAAGAACTTGCATTGGCTTGTCAAACCACGGTTTTACTGTTGGAAATCGGATAAGGACAAAACGGGAAGGTTTATAATTATATTATGTTTATCTACATTGTATGGCAGAGCTCTTAAGGACCCTAAAGGTAACTAAAACAATTGCTACATTTTTGTAAATTAATAAATACGTTTTCTTGTTTTCATTATTAGTTTTGTTTGCTGTTTTTTGTTTGTTTGTTTTTTTGTTGTTGTTGCTGTTGTTCAAATGTACAAAGCATGTAGCACCTGTATCATGGACACTCACTTTCAATCAAAGTACTCTCAGACACAAAGTGTAGTTTGATATCTCGTAGCAACATTTCTAGAAGGCATGTGTAATTTCCACCATCTCTGCTTCGATCATTTGTGAGTTTCATAGGCCCCAGAGTGTCGTCTGGTTTTCCCAGATCAGGGTACCTTACAGTTTGCTTTCGCACTCCATCTTTAAACCATGAAATCCTCTTCAGCACTGTCCTTACAGCTAGCTGGCCTTTAGTCACATTGCAAAAGATTATGATGTTTTCTCCATGCTGCAGCAGGCTGAATTTCGATACAGTCACGGAAGGGATCTCAGCTTCCAAAGAGACATGAAAGGTACACTTAACTGGAGCGATGACGTAAGGTTCCACATTACTTACACCTCGCTGCGCAGCAATGCAATATGTCTTTCCTCTGTGCATGCGCAAAAAAGAAAAATTTAACCCCACTCCTTATACTTCGAGGGGTACGGGCTTATAACATTGAACCTGCATTTATACTTGAACTGCCCATCTATATAACTAAACTTGGGCGATTACCTAAGGTACCAAATTACTTACACCTAGCAGTGCAGCAGAGTATTTTGTCTGGGCTCTGCCTTAGCGCAAAGGAACATTTGGCCCCACACTTTTACTAGAAATGCCCATCTATAACTTACTTGCAATGACATTGATAGTAAACCCATGTTTTCTTTCCACAGGGTCACCAACTGCAAAAGCGTGACACTCGTGCCTTCCCAGTGCACCAAACGTACTGTCATCATTCAGTGAAACATTCCGAATAACCATTGTTACAAAGAGTTTCTTTAACTTTTTGCCGTCTACAAATGGAAGGGTTTACGGTATTAGCTATAGCTAAAAGGAGTGCTTTTGGTTTTGTTTGTGGTTCTAGCACAAAGAAAGACATCAAAAGTTTTTGTCACTTACAAATTCGGTCGGCTTTATGTCGAATACGTTTAAGGTCCCAACAGCGGATTGTGACATAGTTAAACTTCAACCCCAGACCACTATTGTTGCCTTCTTTTTCGCTTGCTTCATGTTCAGTGTTTGCTTTATTTGTTAGTTCATGTTTATATTTTTTTTTCATAGCCAAATAATTAAAATTAAGTACACTTTTAAAATAGAATTAGATAAAAAAAAATCAGTTTCAGTTTTAGCCACTGAATATCCATCGTTTGACGAAGACCTTTTCCATTGACCTCCACTGGTCCACGTTTTGCGCGCGGACACGGCGCAGTTAAATAAAAACAAATAATAATAATAAATATAGTTCTTATGTTCAACATTTTCTTTTTGGTGAGGACTTTGCATCAATTACCTACCATGATCTACCTCCACTGTCTTCTGTTCAAAATAAATGTTGTCGGTAGCTGTTATATTTGTGTAGCACGCAAATATATCTTTTCTCATAAACTGTACTGTTTCGGCTGATTTAATTCCTGATGAATCAAAAGCTATACAAGTAACTTGAACTGAAGTACCCTCAATAGGATATACGTTTTCAGGAAATGGCTCGACGATACCAAACTTGCTAGCTTGAGCTAAAAGGAAGTAAAGTACGTAGTTAAAACTTATCACTACCAATAGCTTTTAATTCAGTAAAATTAATTAAGAATCATCACGCTACTTTGAGCAGTAAAAGTGCATCCAGAATAAACTGCAACGCTGCCACGATGGGACGTTTCCGCACGAAACGTCCCCAAAGGCAAAGAGCGTGGAGAAACGGATGTTTCGCAGGCTATCGGCTTCCAAGAACTGTTTCACAAATTGATTTGGATATATAAGAGAAGTCTCACCCACTCACTGTCGGCGGTTTAATCTGTACTCCGTAAGCTGCTTAGTTCTGTACACGGAAGATCACTAGATCGGGGGACTTTGACTGTGAGTCAAAACGCCTGGTGGGGCGTTCTGCTTTACTTGTCCGTTTCTCGTGCCTTGTGGTAGTACCTATCCCATTATTTACACTTAGCAATTATTCTTTGAAATCGAGGTGAATAGTGGCTAAATATTTACCGAGCCACGAAGTGGCGAGGTAAATATTCCTAAAGCCACTATTCACCGAGATTGAAAAGAATAATTGTTTTAGTATATACACACGAACTGATCTCAACAAAATGAGAGAAGAAACCATTAAAAAGTACGATTTGATTTACAGATCAGGTCAGCTAAACACGCAAAAGTTTAAAAATAGATCTTTTCAGAATGATTGTCAAACATGGCAATTCACAAGCTTATCACTTCGCAAACAACAGCGTAATGACTTAAATAGAACCGCTAAAGTTTGAATTGTTTCCTTACCTGGGAAGAAAAGAAGAGCTTTGTTGTTTTCTGCTGATTCGCCAAGTTTATAGCCGAAAAAGTTTGTTGTGTCGTTCTTCGCATGAAGTGCTGACAAAAATGGCGATTCGGTTCCTCGAGATAAGATGTCGTATTCATGTAGCATTCAGCTTTCTCCTGTTTACTTGAAACGTAGAATTTCTGCAAACATTTGCTTTCAAATTTGTTTGTCATAAATAAACCTCGTTTTGGGGCCAAATTTTTCTTGTTAGGAAACGCTGAGTTCACGAAACGGCCTCTTCTAGGCGAATAAACAGGAGTTGTAAACAATTCATCGACCACAAAACTCAACAACAGTAAATGGAAAAACGCTGTTTTGAATCCTTCGAAGTCTTTTCTTGCCTGAGAAAAGTAAACCTAGGATTTTGTCGACTTTTAAAAGATCTTTCTCTAAAAAAAATGGGGGAAAAACCGAGTTCACACATTATCCACTCGCTAGGAGGTGAATATTGTTGAATAGTGCGAGATAGCGAACCAATCAGATTGCTTAAATCACCAAGATCACTGAGTGTGTATATACTAATACAAAATGTTCACGAGGAAGTTTAATTACCATGTGCGGAATGTAAAACACAAAAAATATAGAGTGAGAAAAAAAATATTGGACGCCTTTCGCAAGAAATCTTGCTTTAAAAAAACCTATCATTAACTGAGGAGGTTCAAAGTCCCACACGCAAACAAAAAAGATTTCTTTGCAAGGTCGACTACACATCGAATGAGTAAAGTCTCAGTTGGCCTTTCGTTTATAGCCTTATGATGTAAACGAAAAAAAAAATTAATTAAAGACACTTTTAAGTAACATGTAAAATTCTCGTTGAAATGTGTCAAAAAGGATGGTAGAAAATATCCCACGCAAGTAAAAAAATTAACGGAAAACTTCGATTTTTTTTTTTACCACAATAAAATAAATAATTGAAAAGCAAAGAAGCTGCCATTAGAGAATTTTGGCAAAAACATATCTATTCAATGATATGTTTAGTTAATTGAGAAATTTAAAAGCACGTTTGATCGCCGCTATATAGGTTCAAGGCGGAACTTTTAATGACGCATTTAGTCGAGCAGGCCCTTCATATAGAAAGCAAGCAGCTTGGCTGAACGTCCCAAAGCAAAGAATATCATGACATATTTGAAAGAATGCGTACCAACGACAGTTATTCACACTTGCCTAGCAGATATTGATATTCACCGACAAAATAACTGACCTACCTAGAACCTTTTCTGCTAGTAGATACGGTCCCATCAGAAACCAGATTCTTGCAAGGGCCCCCATCGTGTTTCCTGACATAATGGATGTCAGTACAAAATACCACCAGCAACTTGCACCCGGAAATTTTCCCTAAAGGCAACTCAACAGGGTTTTCTGAGTTTTTTACTACAATCAAGGTAGTAGTCTCCTCCTTCTTTTGCTTTATGAAACAAGACTTGTCGGATCTGCACGAAATTACGGCTATGATCTAATAGGGACCGTTTGGACAGCATCAATAAGTAAGGCAAAGCTTCCTTTCAAATTTATAAACTTAAAAGGAAAAGTATATTCATAATGCACGTTGACAAGGGCCAGATACCTCTTAAATAGACACTTAGGTAACTGACAGAGATCCCTTTATCCCTTTTTGATGCCTATCCAACTCTTACTTTCGAAACAGGAGACGTATGCACGCAGAATGCGACTATAAAAGGGACAGCTTGGACAATGTCCATTGCGTAGGGAAGTTTTCCTTTCATCGACTCCCCTTTAAGCTTAAGTATTAACATAAATGTCTATTTAGGATAAGCCTATATAAAGACAACAGCGCCAAGTTAGTTACTGAAGCATATCTGTATAGCTTAGCATATCTAACAGCGTTAACCCGTTAAAAGCTCTTAAAAGGAGTAATCAGTATCAAATTTCTTCTTGTAATACCGAAACCCTGTACACGAAAACAGGTTGGTGAGGAGAATTAAGGACATGATCACAGACGATAATGACTCTAACTGACTCTTCAACAACTTCTTTCCACTAGTACTATAGGAAACGTACAGGGCCAGTAAATAGGAAGTTGACTTTTCAGTGATATTAGGCTTTAAAGGGTTATGCATGGTTAAACCACAATTGGAATCCGCGAGGTGAAAGACCTTTGCGTCATGTTTAAGTCGTTGCCCGTGACCAAAATATCGCCCTTTTCGAATTAGGGTTTTTGAGCGACATTCTGCTGTTATCTGTTAGACATTTGACTCATTTAGGCCATTTTCGTGGCTTTAGGTTCCCCTTTTACTTCCGAGGATTAAGCTGCTAAATTTACAACTCATTTGAATGAATGCACAAGTATGTCTTACCTACATGACATTAACACTAACTCCTACCTCCCCACAGGGTTACCAACTGCAAAAGCAAGACACTCGTACCTTCCCAGTGCACCAAACGAACTGTAATTGCTCAATGTAACATTCAGAATAACCATGATTACAAAGAGCTTTTTTTTAACTTCTTGCCGTCTACAAAAGTTAGAGCTTGGGGTGTATGCGCTGAGAGAAACTTAAGCAGTAATCATAATTTTATTCGTAAATCGAGTTGAGGAAGAACTTAGGTTTGTTGTATGAATTAAAAAGCTACTTCCTGTTTTATGCACCAGCAACCAGATCAAACCATGATTAGATAAAATCGAGTTCCCTACCATAATGGACAAAATGGATAAAATACAGCTTTCAACGACTTACACCAGCAAATTTACCTAAAAAATTTATAGAGTAGAAAAAACAAAACAAAACAGATCCTCCTTTTGTGGACAAGGAATTTTCTTATTTTGATCTCCTTCCAAACTTTTACTTTCGAATACTAAACGCATTGAACCTAAGCCACTACTATAAAAGGGACACTTTGGCCACTGTCCACTGCAAATGGAAATTCTCTTTTATCGTTTGACTTAAAGTGAAAAAAAAAAAAAAAATACGACACAGAAAATCACTAATTAAAAGTCAGATTAAAATTTATTACTGATTTTTATCATTTAATTTTATATTTTTTATTCATATATCTTTTAATCTGTTTTTACTATTTATATTATTATTATTGATAATAACATTTCATAAGTATGTTATTATTATTATCATTATTATCATTATTTTCAATAATTGTTAGCTCTGGAATGTTAATCCATTAACAAAAAATGATTTAACAGTCAACCCAGAGGACTATCAAGCGTTCTTGTCCTTGTATTTAAGCTGTGCAAGGTGCGGTATGGGATTATAATTTCACTTTCAGCTTTGGCGAGATATATTACGTACGTCCCAATGCATAAAATGTATCCCTCTATGACAGGCCATCATTTAAAGACAAGTATTCCGTTACCAGTTATACGCGCCATTTTTCAGCTACGGAGCATGCTTAAAACAACTCCTGACGTCATACCTCACATGTTTTTGTGGTGAAATTGTAGGGAACGCGCTCGTTATCGCGACGTTTTTTAAATCAGTAGTTTTTTCGTTCCCTGATACACTGCTCTCAAGTTACTATCGTTATTAAATACATCGCAGGTAACAACTGCTTTTTTCAGCGTACGACTATCAGATAGAAGCGTGGTTTCAAGAACCTGAATCGAAACAAACCATTTGTTTGCTTTTCTTGTGGCGTTAACTTCTGAAATGTCGTCCGTCTGGTATATGGCGTGTGAATTCACAAAATTAGATCAAAGTTTTGCGGTTTTTGGACTAACATAGCGTAAATTTGAACTGGGGCGACGTTCTCTCGGCCAAGTGCAGCCTCCTGACAGGTTCCCTTAGAAGGGACGGACAGAAATAGATAAAACTCTGTTTCGTTTTCCCGGCCTTCTCTACCTGATGTGCGTCCATTGTTAAAGGCGAGTACGTTAATAATGTGTTGAATTTTTGTGGACATCAATGAAGACAATCAACATTTATGTGCTGGGCATCTCAAGTTTGGACTCCCTTAGCTTAGCCTGAGTAGCAGGCGCCGGTTATTATTATTATTTTTTTTTTACAGGCCGCGCGAGAGGAACACTCGCGTCCTGCGAGGGGAGCACTCGCGTCCTCGAAATTACTTCCTTCGCCCTTAAAAAAAAACTGGCACACGCAGGCTGCCCTTCGCTAGAGGGGTGAGTTAAGAGGAGGAAAGAAGAAACTCTGTTTTACTTTTCCCCTTCAAAGCCCGCGCTGAGCTCATTTCTATGACAACAAACATCCGTGGTAATTTTTGCACATTTTGGCTTAAGTAAGCGTTTCTAAATAGATCATATTTTGGCGCAATGTTGTCTTTACAATACGGTAGATGAAAAGCGTTAAAAAACGTTTCTAAAATATATAGTGAATCAAATGATATCATACCTTCGTCAAGGTTATCCTGACTAGCATTTTGCCAGTAAAATCCGAAGCATTGGTCATAACTTGCTAGATTACTTTTCTTCACTACTTAAGGGATAACGTTATCAAAAAATGTCGTCTTCCATCCCCATTGCATGATACTGAGACGTTTGGCTACCAACAAAAAGAGGAAAAGCAGCTGATGTACAAGAAACAATACACCTTTGCCATCGATTTTATTGCAAATTCATCAGTTTTATGAGGTTGTTTGGAACTTAAAGTGTGTTTCGTGCCTGTGGTGATAAATATGTAATACTTTAACATTTTTCTCCTTATCGCATTGATTTCTGAAGCTATTGCGAAAACAGTGCAAAGTGGAACAAGCATACAACATTCATTTCCAGTTCAAAAATTACTGAGTAATGTAGAGTTCAGGACTCTTAAGACTGTTTTCGGCAGTTTTTATTACGAAGGAAACAAGACCGACGGAGCCACGAGTTCACTTATTTCTCCATATCAAAGGGCAAGAAAAAACGGCAGGAATTAATATACAAAGGTAGATAATCATATTCACCTTAATTCGTTCGTTTGCCCTAATGAACGAGAAGTTTCATATATTTTAGTAATCAATTGGCACTAAACCCGAAAATGGGCTTGTAGTACATGTACTATGTTTGGCATAAAAAATATCTGTGAAAGGGTGACCCTACAAGAGGAAAGTTTCCTTCTTCCTTGGATAGACGTGTGATGCTTGTTTACTTGTTTGTTTCATTTAAAACACACACACACACACACGCATTCAATAATGACTCAGAGCAACAAATGTGCCAAAAGGACAAGCTGGAATTCAAGATATTTCAAGTCCTTAGAGCCAATGATCTTTTCTTGGTGCAAAAACCTTTTTTCTCATCGTTCTCTTTCCTCTTCCACAAATCAATGAAATTTACATTTCGCTGAGCATTAAATTCAAATTTTATCACTTGATGCCAAAATACCACTAGTACAAAAGAGACTACAATACCAACATTACCAAATCCAAGCAATTCCCACTACGCACGTTCTTTTGACTCCTTCCATTTAATGATTGTGCATATGTTTGTTGCTGCCTTTTGCTGATCTGCTCCCCATATAAACCTAGCATATTCCAGGCGTTCACATTGTGGTGAGTCCTTGCAAGGAGATGTGAGCAGGAAAAACATTAGGGGGATGGGGTAGGGGGTGAGAACAAACCCGTGTAACTCTAACCCTCCTCTCTTCCTCCACCCTCTCCTTTTCCTTATTATTTTCCCACTCTCTAGCGTCATGGCACACTCCACTATCTGAATGCCTTGAGCCAGACATCAGTTAAGGTATCCAGATACAAGTAAACACCTTACATGCTGTAAACTTCAAGTGCTACTGAAATATAATTGAACCTCTCCACAAAGGCCACCTTGGGGACAGAAAAAAAGTGGCCATTTTAGAGAAGCGGCCATTGAAGAGAGGTTAAAAAAAGAGTCAATGTATGGACAGTCCACCAAAAATAGTGGCAGACTTCTCCGTTGTGGAGAGGTGACTGTTAGTGGAGGTTCGACTGTCGCGATTATAGCCTCAGCGAACGCAAATGTATTTCAGGCCACAGTTTCTCTCCACCCGAAAAGTATTATTTTTTGGGTGGGGAGAATCGACCACTGGAAATACGTCTCTGCTCGCAGGGTAAAGTGATTACAGCTTTTCCTTATATCTTATTTTTTTCCCTTCAAGTGTTAAAACACCTAGTCCTAGAAAATGGGTAGAGAGAACAGAAAAGGCATAAGTTTAAGAGAAGAGACAATGTCCATCAACAGAGAATTAGCTCTGCTTAGCTGGCAGTTTTGTTTGGAAATGCAAACAAGTTAAAATTGCTTCCGGTAATTTCAGTATGACAGGGATGTGGCTGTTGGTTTCCACTTGTTTTTGGATGTAAAGGCCGCGAGCATCGCAGGGATATTTTTGTGAAATATTACAGAATATGCAATGATTTTCTTCCTTTCAGAATGGATGGGATAAAGTTACATATTTATCTGACTGCTGGAACTCCCAAGGGAAAAAAACCGTTTGACTCAACATGAGTTTGAATTAATCAGGTAGTATTCACTGAAAATTGTGCCTAAGGGACAGTTAATCCATCATTTCAACTCGGCAGCAGGCAGTTGAGTTAACCAGTTCCAGTTAATGAGGCTCTAGTCTACCATACAAATGAAACCAAAGAAAACGAGATTAAGGTAGAATTGAATTTACATAGCTGTGTATGATCTAACATACAGTAAATGTACATTTATAAGTACCTACAGTGTATACGTTTAGTGTACTACATGTTTTAAACTGAGGACTGAGTTTAACTGAGGGTAGAATAATCTTTTGCTATCCTTTTGACAGCTGTTTTGCTTGCATAACTAAATTTGGTGCTGCCAGAGATAACAAAGTATGTGATCGATCAAACATCATGTATCATGTATCCCAATATGCTAGCACTGATCCATGTCTATAAGATAACCAGCATCACTCAAAATGTTGCGCCGTTTTTTTCGCAACTCTTAAAGATGAAAATTTAACCCTATTTAAGTCACTGACTAATGGAGAATTAATACTGTACACCCAGCAAAAAAGGCAATCCCATGCTTTTGACAGTTCCACAAAAAATTACTTCCTTCAGTCCCGACTGCAAAGTGGCACAAGGTATGGAAAATACAGAGTACACAGCCTTGGAGGCCACAATGGTGACAAAAATAAAAAAAATTTAAAAAATGCCAAATGATCAATGATATTTTATTTAACTTGTAAGTGACAATAATAAAGCAACACTTCAGCGCAATCCAAGCATACTCTATGAAGTTTAGAACATTTGATGAAAGTTATAGACTACAGCTATAGGAAGTCTGGAACAGAGGCACTCAATGACTGTTTTCTGTAAAATATCTGTTTGGAGAAGCAAAAAATTGCCTAGAATTTTCAACAGCTTGAGGAAAGCTAAAATTTCTAGATAACCATTCCACTCATTGACAATTTCCGGGGCTATATCTAATAAACTCCCTACGTGATTTTTAATTTGAGTTAACTTTTCGCATTTCACTTACCAGGTTAGGCCATCATTGTTCCATCCTCGGAGACCCACGACTACCTAATTTCAAGTTTTGTGAAGGACGTAAACAAACAATAACAAAATTCATTCTCTTCATGAACTTGGATATGGTTGATAGAAATTCAGCTCCAGAAGAGTTCGCTTGCATGTGACAAAGTAAGCGAGTTGAAATAATCACGATAGAGACTGAAGAAATGTGAATTCACTTTTCCAAGCAACGTTTTCGTTGCTGTCAGCAGTCGTGGTATCTTTGAAAAACTCCCTAATATTTACGCAAGACGTGACCGATTCAAGCGTAAATACCTGTTATAAGCTCAAGCTTGTATTTTTGGAAAAGTGTCTTTAGTTTTCGAGCAGACAGTATTTTGAAATCAGATGGGGATTTTATACCAAACTGAAAGTTTCCTGACTGCGTGTATGTTTTTGGTGTATGAACCAGTCAAGCCGTGATCGAGACATACGTGCACGAACTCACGAAAAGAACTCAGTTAATCAACCTTCCCTTGTTTTTCCTTTGGAATAAGGACAACAACAACTTTGTGTGGCTGAAAATGGGGAAGTGGGGGACAAAGTGCTCAGTTAATATTTTAGCCCCATGGACCCCTGGAGTGTCAAGAAAACAAAACCTACAGCCCAAGGGGATGTACACAGTGGATGAAGAGAAGGGAGTTGGCCTTCTCTCAGGGCCACTGTGAACATTCCTGGGTAGAGAGGAGGGAGTTGGGCCTCCTCTGTGACAGGAGGGAGTGGGCCTCCACTAACCTAGGCTCCAGGGGGTATAATTGGAGAGAGATGGCCTCCGAAAATCGAGTCTATGGGGGCAAGAGTGTGACGAGAGGAGCACTTCATCCCCATTCCCGTGTTTATTTGACCAACTTAAACAGAACTTGCTAAGAAAGGTAACTATATAACTCAAAAGGATAACTGGGTAACTATGATCCAAAGTATCTATTACTTGACTGGCAAAGTGATCTGCCATTGAATGTTCACGTGAATGGTTAACACACATAAAGAAACCTAAGTGATAACTTAGGTTCTCTAAGATTTCTATAGTTTGTTCGGACAAGTAATATCCAAATCTTTCCGAATCTACATTGTTCATTAAAGCATTATTAAGTATAATTAAATTGTACGCAAACAGACCCAAGTGTAGTATGAGTGTCTCTGAAATAAGTAATGTTCCTTCAATAATTGACATATCTTAACCACCTCAAGTGTGGTAGGTAGTTGCTCTAAAATTTAAAAATGTCCATTAAGGTAATTTAAAGTCAAGTGTACATAAAGAAACCTCAAAAGAGGAACTTATTCTTTGAGTTCCATTAGTGTACATAAAGTTATCACTAACCGCCGCCCGGTTAGCTCAGTTGGGAGAGCGCTGGTCTGCTGAGCGGGAGGTCGCGAGTTCGAATCCTGGCCGGACCAACACTCAGGGTC